CCCTGTGCGGGCCCAGGCAGCCTCTGGCCTCGGAACCCCTGAGCTGGACGCGGGGTGTCTTGGTGTCTGGCAGCTCTCCTTCATTCAGAATGTTGGAGCATCCGCGATCGCTTGCAGCGAGGAGTTCCACAGCTTGCCACACTGGTCTGTGAGCCGCTGCCCCCTTCGGTTTGCTTTGAAGCTGCCTTCTCGCAGTCACTTGATGTCAGTAGCTCTTGATTTAGAACAGACGGCGCAGGATGGGTCCCTACCCGCCCCACAGGCCTCTGGAATACCCCCTGTCAGCTGTGCCTTCTCTCACAGAACGAGCCGTTACCTCCAGGACAGAAGCTGTTCTGTGCCTCTGAGCGTTCATGTCATGTGCCTGTTTCCCCAGCTCTGTCAGACTCTCTGAAATGGGGGATCCCTCCTCCCCCTTGCAGTCAGGATGTGGGGTTTGAGCAACAAGGCAGAATCACACTCACTTTTACTCCCTGTTTTTTTTTCCCCAACCATTGTAACATTGGACTAGCTGTTTTGTCTGGCCTGGAGCTGCAGTTGTCATCCGTCTGCCCTCACTCCAAGCTGCTGTTCCTGAATGACACCAAGGCCCGTCCTGGTAGAAGTGCAAGGCACAGAGGCCGTTCCCTTCTTTGCCCCTTTGTGTTTACCTGCAGTGGATGTCCCCTGCCATTCCCCTGTCACCGGGTGGTCAGTATCATAAAGCTCTGCCCCAGTTTGTAGTCAGCCTTTGTGCCTTTAACCCTGGGTAATACAGAACCATCAGCAGATGTTTCTACCTCCCCTTTCCCTCCCTTAACACCTTAGGGAGGGTCATTCATCCCACAGCACCTCAGTTTCTTTACCAGTTTCAGTGAAGGATGAATGTCTTTTGGGAACACCTTTGGACTCCAGATCTCCCTTTTGCTAAACGTGGCGACATCTTTGAAGAACTCCAACTCATTTGTGAAGTGAGACATCTCTTTCCAAAGGCTGTGCCAGCTCTTCCCAGTCTGCCCTCTTTGGCCATCCCTCTGTTAATTCCCTTACTGAGATTTCCCTTTGTTTGATGGGAATGTTTGGTCCCAGATCTCCCCTCGAGCCCTTTCTCTGGTATCATCAGCCACCTTTCAGTCCCCTGACAGTGAGGTACAACAGTCAGGGGTCCAGCAGTGTGGGAGGTTGTGTGAATAGCCTTGCTGGGTAAGCCAAAAGCCTGTGTAGCTCTGAGCCCTCTCTCAGGGATTCCAGGACTGGCTAGGAGCAGGTGCCAGGGGAGGAGATAAGCACACAGGGACACCTCCTCAGCACAGTCTGCCATCATCCAGCAGCCAGAGGCTTACTCATGGTGGTGATGGGTTATTTTTAACACTTGTCATGGGTTCCTCTTCTGTGAACTCTTGAAGCTGGTGCCAGAGACTATTGCTGTGTCCTCCTGCTGCTGTGAGACAGGCCAGAGCATCAGCCAAAACTCCAGCTGCTGTTTTCTGTTGAGAGAGCCAAGGGTACATTTAAGGTGATATTTAGGTTCTCTCCCAATATGTATCCTTACTCTGCTTACCTGGAGTTACCTTGTACCCACAGCACTGGCAATCTTGGGCATATTGAAGGTCTTACCACCAACCCAGACTGAGGAAGAACCACATTCTTCCTGTATTGCTTACTCATTTTTGCCAGTTCAGCCTTTTGCTTCCAGTATTAATTCTTCAACATTGTGAACTTACTCTCCTTCTACTTAAAGTACCTCCAGTGAGTTCCTGTCACCATGATTTTGATCAAACCCTTTACAAGTTGAGAGCTGGAGCCATGGCTGTAATTGTAGCAAGAAGCTTGAAACTCCTGACCTTCCCCCAAAAGTACAGGACACCACAGAAGACTTGATTCTTGTGTACTTTGAAGGCTTTTTCAAGTTCTGTGTAAAGAACCAAAATCCTACGTGTGTATCCAAGCCAGTGTAGGTGAAGGAGATCTTTGGGCATATCAGCAATGGAACAACTTCACCAGCTCCAGTAAATCTGATGTACAAGTCAAGAGCTCCATGCCAGCCTGCCAGAAATGTCCTCCTCTTGTCCCATCCTTGGAAATCACCTTTCTCTTTTCCTCCAGGCCTGGCTGGAGTAGCTGCAGGCCAATGGAAGTACCTGCATGGTGAATAGCAAAGTTCCAGTTGCTGTTCCTCTCAGGGGAAGATTTTAATAAAAACTCTATGAGGGAAGGAGTGGCAACACTACCACACAAAACTCCCACAAAAGGTATCTCAGGAGTTCACTGTGGACTCGTGATGTTTTCTTACAGTGACTAGAAAGAAGATTAGATATGTACATGTGTCAGCCTGGGCTGAAATTCTACACTCTCCTTCCTTTAGTGCCTGTTCAGGGCTCAGCAGTGACTCTCCTCTTCCAAGGCATCCTCTTCCCTGTCACCTCTCTGCCAGACCACAGGAGGTGCCCGTGGTTTGTACACCAGTCCCACACCACTGATACATCCCTGGTTTATTTCACAGGAGTTTTCAGAGAGCCACGAGGTACCTGTGGAAGCTTTTAAGTAGGCAAATACAGAGTGTTTGCAGCTTTAGTCCTCGTTTTGGGTCTATGTATAGTCAACAGCAAGTCATCCTTCACCCATGGGCATCCATGTGAAGAGATGAGCTGGGAATCTATTTCCCTGATCGACCTGTCCTAAACCCAGATGTGATTCACTGCATGTGAAGGAGGGCAGGGATTTGTTCCCTGCCTGGCTCCCAGGAGCTGTCCATAACTCTTCAGCTAGTGTTACATCCCTGCCCTGCACTGCCTGCATCTTCTACATAACCACATTTCCTCAGCACATGATCTGGAACCAGCCACGGAGGATCTTCAGCTCACCAGCCACCTTTCACACAGGTTGGTTCTGCACCAGTGGAAGCTGGAAGTCACCTTTCTGCTGCTCTGAGATGGGCACGAGCCAGACTCCAGGTGGTCTCTGAGTCTCACACCTTAGGGCCAGTGTCTCATTTCACAGAACCCCAGCATGGTGGGGTTGGAAGGGACCTCTGGAGATCATCTCCTCCAACCCCCCTGCTCCAGCAGCTCACCCACAGCAGGGTGCCCAGGATGGCATCCAGGCAGGTCTGGAATCTCTCCAGAGAATGAGAAATCCACGACCTCTCTGGGCAGCTGCTCCAGGCTTGGACACCCTCACAGCAAACAATTTTCTCCTCCTGTTCAGGTGGAACCTCCTGATCTCCAGTTTGTGCCCATTGCCCCTTGTCCTGTCCCTGGGCACCACTGAGCAGAGTCTGGCCCCAGCCTCTTGCCCCCTGTGGGCCCTTTAGCTCCTGCTCAGCGTTGATCAGATGCTTCGTGCATCTCCTTGTGTGCAGCACAAGAGCAGGGCAGTTGCATCTGTCCCAACCCCAGTGATGTTCTGCTGAACAAGGCAGTTCTTCACAGTCCTCCTCAGACTCTTGGGTCAACTAATAGTAACATTTTCAGATACAACACCCTAGAAGAGCAGCCTTCTTTGCCATTCAGGCACTCAGCTTTGACCTCTGATAGGCCAATAATTCAGTAGGTTTGGGTTCTGGAAGCACGCAGAGCTACTGCCTGTGAACACACCAAAAGCCACAGTGTATGTGGAGGGAAAG